TGAAAATCGTTTTTGTTTAGTTTTTTACATATATTTCTAGTTAGAAAAAATTAAGAGGTGTATCCCTCAAAACTGTAAATACAAAATACTTTCCAACCACGAGAAATTTATTTTGAGTGTCTTCATAGTTTTATTTTTGAGATACACTAATTTTTTATATACTACAGGAAAAATGAAAATAAATATTATAATGCATCAAAATAAACTATTTCCAACAGTGTAATTTGAGTTCTAAGCATCCCAGAAACTATACAGAAAAGCATAAAGTCAAACATGACTTTTAAAAACACCAACATAGGCTTATAAGGCCCTTTCGCGAAAATGACGTCACTTCCGGTTTCGGGCAGGTAATGGCGGACATGCAATAGTTCGCGTTGACGTATATGCCAACGTAGGAAGTGCTATGAACATCAGCAAAGCGTGTTTCTGGAATATTATGTTTTTGCTTTTTTCTTCTTATACAATTTTTGCAAAGCTATATGTGGAAGGAAACCGTGACCTAGGACAAGCTAATGGCATAAGATGTAAGTACAACTCCTCCGGTTTCACATGCAAAAAAATTTATTGCACTACCTTACGTGGTTCCAGTTCTACAGGGATTTAAAAATAGTTGGGTTAAACGGAGTGTGCCTGCTCCGACCGGTTGTAAAGGGTTAATTATATATTTTATGTAATAATATCTAAAATTTGGGTTAGAAACGATAGAAGACAAATGGCAAGATAGACACTTTTCTATCCTCCACACGATATATATCGTCATATCGCCCAGCACTAGTGCTTTTTGAGATATATTTTCCCTCATTTCCAATAAAAATAATCTTTTTCAAAACAGTTTAGTGGGATACATACTGAACCTTGAGGACAGAAACAAGGTATCTCACCAGTATTGATCCAATACCAATACCAGCTTTGATACCAATACTACTTATATTAGAATCAACCGTTTCATCACTATTGATTATACTCTATTGCAGACATGGACACGGAGAGCTGCTATGCTCCAACCACACATGAGCATGTATAGTTGGAGCACTGTAATGACAACTCTCCGCAGACAATCACAATTAACAGACAGGCACGCAGACGTGCACACAGACCCTTGTGCCCACCATCTAATGATGAAATTTACATCACTTGGAGCCTTAGTGGACATGCAGACACAGAAAGTATAATCAAGGCTTAGAATTGCTCAACTGTTTTCAACTTGTTTACCCAGTCACAAAATGACTGGACTTTCCTGTAGAGTCACTGCCTCTGTGGTCATTCCAGTTCTGCAGTTTCAAAGTGCAAAACAGAAGATTACCAGAATTATAACTGAAAGACTCGACAAATGACATTACACACATTGAAGTAACTTTAAGTAATAATAGGCTCAACCCAGCCCATGATGTCACAGATGGTATGTTCATTCGTCAGTTGTGCAATGGAAAAACATATACATCCACATTCGTCACTGGGATGTGGCTAAAAATACAGCAACCGTTCAGCCACACCTGAGCGTTTTGTGCCGTGACAAACTGAGGTAGAAGAAATCTATCTCAGCACCAATACATTGGATAAAACAGGCCTACCTTTAAATAAGCTGAAATTAGCCGCCTTTTTAAGTGTACATAAATTATTTTCCCCACAAAAAACATTGCTGCTCACAGGATTGCGTTTTCACAAGGTCCGGTAAACTGAAGGTGCAATAATGAACATTTCAAATTGGTCAAATTGGTCAAGTAGCCTACTTATAGCATTTGAGCCATTTATCAGTTATCTCACAAAAACTGATTAAAAAAACAAACAAAACAATCTGCTTATGACATAAAGCAGAAAGTGCTGGTTACTAGGGCTGTGCGATATGACCAAAATCATATAACGATATAAATCACAAAAATGTAACATTTTCTTTAAATTCTGTGAATCTCGGGCAGCTCGACTTGTGGGAAGTGTTTCCAGCTGCGCGTCATGTAGCTGGAGTCGAGTGTTTTAACAGATGCATGAAACTATACAGTTTTAAACATAAGTTGTAACGGCCGCCGTTTTCTTTTTGAGTATTTATACACGGCGTGCTGCGGGGAAAAGCCTGTTCTAACGTTTGAGTCTAAGGTTTATTTTTTAGCACCTGGCGGCTCTTTTTTTGCTTCTCATCCGTAAATAATCTGCTCTTTCACGTGGTTCAGTTTATTTTGAAAAGTCTCAACAGGATCTTGAGCTTTATGGTGAAAGGTTTATGTGGAACATAAACAAGCGGACACGCGATGGTGTTACCATCGTTGTTGCTAACCACAACGCATAAAAACAGGCGCTTGTCCGTCTGTAGTGTGGTTATATAAAATATAAGAGAAAGAGAGAAGTTTAAGAAATTAATATAGCCACTACAGTGACCATCAAAACGATGAAAGAATATTGTTGTAAACAGTTCATTTTGCGACACCACGAAACAAACGATAGCGTAAAATGAAACGATAGACGTTTTTATATCGGCATCCGATATATATCGTTATATCGAACAGCCCTACTGGTTACTGTGGGAGAAGGCAATGATGGTCGGTGGTGTTTGCAGGGAGGCATTAACCAAAACAAAGAAGTAAACTAGAGAAATAAGTTAATCCCCACAGTAATTTTGTGTTATCACACAAACAGAGGCACACCTCCATGTAATCCTTCAGGAAGGCGCCAGACAACCAGATTTGATGTGAATGTAACCTAACAGCAGGGTTCACCCCGTCTGCCGTGTGTATCGTCCACCAAACAGACACACTGACTGACAGCTGGAGTATAGACAGGGTGAACAGAGGAGAGACAGCAGAGGCAGAATCTTTTTTCTTTTGTTATGACAAATTAATTTTGTGCTGGCAAAATGTTTAAAAGTAGTGTGAAAAAGAGCTGAAAGACATTTAGGTATTTTTTCATGATTTCATGAAGTAACCCCCCCCCCCCCCAAAGTGGTAAGCATCAATAAAACATTGGTTTCAGCATCTGATACAGATGGAACAACTGAGACAGATCATTGATTTTAAACCTTCAGCATAAGGCAAATGATTTCTGCTAGTGACAACAACACAACTCAAGCAAAAAAAAACAAAAACACAAGTATACAGTTACGCCCCATTCAAAGAGAATGACCTAATCTAAATGGATAATAACTTTTTTTCCAAAACCAACCATTAACACAAAACAATAATAATTTCCCATGGTAGGGACAGTTTTTTTTCTCCACTCAACAGTACATCACTTTTTTTAATCTGAAGCAAAGTACCGGGTCGACATCAATTGGGCTTTGAAGTCTAGTTTATCACATGACACAAAAACTGACATTGGGCCAGAGAACTTCACCAAGATCACATGGTATTTATTTTTACAACAAGGAAGTCGGTTTAACTTACTTTGCATGAAGGAGCGGGTCGAAGGGTGGATGCTGTGCACCGTACACATGCTGAATGCTGAGGAAGTGGAAAAGATAGAATGGAAATGAATGAACTATTCGATCACTGGCTGGCAAGCTAGCATCTTAGCTTTAAGCTATTTAAAGCAATACCAGTTTAAACTGCAGTAGTGAGACTCCGTGTGACCCGAAGTGCAATAATTTGCCGTGAGACCTTGACTACTCGTGTTGTGAAATAGTTACTGTGTCATTAGTTACAACTCTGCGACGGAGTACTGATGAACTATTAGCCACTGTTAGCAGCCTAGCTCTTAGCCTAGCTAACAGTTGCAAGGGGTAAAATGCGTCTACGAGACGTTTTTACCACAGACGTTGGCCAGTGACAAGAATGGGAACTTTGTCCAACAGCAAAGCCCCAACAATCAAAGTGAAAGTTGGCGTTTGAAGAGCAGCAGCGCAGCGTCAGCTGAGTGAAGCTAGCTACGCTAAGCTAACAAGCAGGAGGGAACACGTCACTCACCTGCCAGGAACCTTCGCTGCATTCCTTTTCCAGAACTGTTTTTTGTTTCCGTCGCTCGACATCTTCCCGCAGCGGTCCACTCAGTCCTAAACTCAAACACCCCGACGCTGTCGTTATCTCAAAAATGTTAAATGTCTGTTTATTTACACCAGCTCCCCTCCTCCAAAACTCAGAAAGCTGCCATGTTGATACTGCCTAATCGGCAAGTAAACGCGACTGTGATTGGCTGGGGTGACACTTCCTCACTGTAACCCAATCACAAGTGAGATCTGGTTGTCGGTAGGAGCATTTTTTTAATAGGACGCTGACGTCATGCTCCACGGCCTTTGCTGTGTTGACAGAAACTCCGACTGTGAATCAAAGAGACCCTCCAGCATCAGGACCAGAGGGAAGGCATACAGCATCACCAACGAAAATACATGGACAGGATCATGGGAGGGTTTTTTGGATATTTAGAAATGTTCATATAATATGTATACATTGTTTTTCAGGCAGAATCTTTAAATAGATCGGTTCTCATACAATTTTTGTAATATAAATCTGTAGTTTGTGTGATGCCATATATTGAATGTTGGTTCTCACTATGTATAAAATAAAGTCAGGTTTATTTTAGGTTTTTCAAACTTATTTTATGAACTTGGTGAACTGACAGGTGATTCTATTAATACAGGTTTTATGTGCTTGGGAATTTGGAAATTAAACTTGAATGATGCTTTTTTGAGGCTATAATAAACAATAAACTGTCCTGGAAGCCACATATCAACTAAATGTTTAATAAACTGGCTGTATAAAGTAATAGTTAATATTACAGTATTACAGCAAATGGATTATCATGGTGGAGTAACTATGTGAATATGAGGATGACTTGACTCGGTAAACAACACGTTTGGCCTTTCTGTTCTGCTAAGTTCTAGCTCC